TCAGTCATGAGTTTTATGGAATAATTCAAGTGGAATAATTCATGATTAATTATAATAAGAATATGTTGGTCTACATAGGTTATTATTATAATTAGTAGCCTGATTTATTTTATTCCTGAGGTCCCTGTAGTGCCCTAATTATTTGGAAAGTTAAGGGTGTATTAAATAATAGATAAATTATTCAGTTTTAAAATAATTGATAATTATTTTAATTAAATAATTTTTTATTTAATTTATTTTATATTAAAAAAAAATATCTTTCTATCGAAGAGAGTTTTTTTTAATATAAGATTTGAAAACCCTAAGAATAGAGAGACGCACGTTATTCTATTCTCTGCCACTCAGAGAGATAGTTAGGGATTAACGGTATTCTATTCTCTGCCACTCAGAGAGTTCCAAAAGAGAGATAGTTAGGTATTACTGCAGAAGATCGTGGGTGACTCCAAGATCTCTGGAAAGAAAACCGGTGAGCGATTCTGCGCTTCAAGAGGTCAGTTTATTGATTTGTTCGATAATGTTTTTAATTTGCCTCATATGGTTTCATTAAGAGTTGTTTTCGCTTTATACCCGCTCCCATCACTAACGTCTTCCTTCAACCATGCATTATCAAACCTGAAAATGCGAGACATCACAACCCCCTCTGCCGGGCTGAGTATCAAACAAAATTGGCTTATAATTCGATGTGGGTGCAACTAGACTATGACTGTTCAGGTCTGAAAACAACTCAAGCCATCATTCGCAAAATAATGATCCAACCTCTTGCATCGCCACCTGACCATTGCGATGTTGAGCCCATGTGAATAAAGACCTCGTATATGGTACCTCTAGTAAATTGCTATCGTAAACAGCAGTTTCAAAACCTTAAATCAAATATTGTGGTTGTATATGCTCCCCCCTCCCCCAAAACCTTCTCTTCCTAACTCAAAATATCATTAAAATCCCCTAAACTCACCCAAGGTCTGGAATCTTGACTAGCTAAAGCCCTTAACAAATTCTAGGATTATCATTGACGAGACTGTTCTGGGTACCTATAGAAACCAATGATCTGGAAAGAACAATTATTGTCTTAATAATGACAATCTATAAAATGAGAAGAAAAACCTTGGATTTGAAGGCCTGCCTCCTGCTTCCATAAAATTGCCAAACTACCCCCCTATGTCAATCCGATCAACCACAGACATACTGTCAAACCCCAGAATGTGTCTCACCTCCTCCACCTTACGTTTATTGGCCCTTGTTTCCATAAAAAAAAACTACCAATGGCATGTAACACCAAGAGAGCTCATTAAGAGCTTGAACTGTACAGGGATTGCTAGGCCCTCAATAGTTCCATGATAAAATTCTCATTGCTTCCGGCCGTCCTGTCCAGCAGGACTAGCCAATCCAATAGTTTTATGAGCTTCTGATGAATCCACAATACTAAAAACAATAGTAGTCGGTTTAATTAACTTTCGAGGCCTTTTTTCCGATCATCTGGTTTCAATATGTCTTCCCTCCTCTCCCACTCAATACAACAACATTATTTTTCACCAGTTGAGCATCACACTCCATTCTCCGTCCCCCTTGCACCTTACTGCCCATAGACACTGCTTGAAACTCATGAACCTTCAGAGACATCAATTGGCCATCAGAAGAGTCTGTCCCACTCCTACTCACAATATTAGTTAACACATCGCGCTCCTCCCTTGGCCATGAACTAACTCGTTGGTTTTGCCTCCTACAAGGTACTCTAATGGAATCATCCCACTGCAGTTGTAGCTCCACCTTACGACAATGTAAATGTAACTCATAAAAGTTGTCCATATGGTCAAGCTTGCCACACAAGAAATAGAAAATTGATAGCTTTTTATAAGGAAAGAAAGCAAAAATAGCATCGCTAGATGGGGTGATAAGTTTTTTCTCCTTCGCAACGATTTTGTAACGTCCAGTCTAACTAGAATCATCATAAACTTGCACATTGCAGCGGGTGAACGTCTCATATCATACTTAAGAAACTCACCAATAAAGTTTCCTAACATTGTTTCTATTGATTCCATATAACATTGTTTCTATGCCAAACCAGCAGATGGCAAGTGCCACGGAGAGCCCGTCATAACCCTTTCTAATCAACATCATTGTAAAAACGTAATAAAAAACATTTGGCACCAAGGTCCAAAATAGTAAATCCCCTAAAGGATGCCATAGATCAGCTAGGATATTTCGCATTGATGGAAAGTGGATTGTATTAAGTGTAAGAAACATCCCAACCAAGCAAAACTCGTACTGAGATTGCATTTGGCCAGAGCCATAGGGGAGCTAGTATCCCTCGTCCTCTTCTGCAACCAAAGACAGAGCTTTAAGGGAAGTTTCCATGGTGGCCGGCGAAAATAGAAGCCAAAACTAGGGTTTTTAGGAAGAAAACTAGGGATTTAGGTAGAGAGACATAAACGTGCCATCAAGGCAAACATGGCTACTTATTATGCACTTAATTCTATTTTATTTATAATGAAATGGTTTAAAAATAATATTCAACCCAATTCGTTCATCTTATCCTTCAGTCCCTAATTTATAAATGTAAATTCTTAAAACCTTGCCCAAAGAAAATCAAGTCATCACTCAATCTCTAACCTCCTGTCCTCAACCCCAAATCAATATCTATATATACAACTATAATGAAAAATAATAATTTATTTTTTACTGCTTAGTAAAGAAAAGAAATGAGCAGATGATCTAAATTAACAATGGTAATTACTTTGGCTATAGTGACAGTATTACCTAATGCATTACAGAAAGAAATATATGCAGATACACACAGATTCTTGAAACCCCAAAAAGTGACCCAAAATAAAAATTTATAGTTCTAGTTTTTTTCAGTTTTATAAACACTATTTTCTTTCAAGTCAAACAGATTTAGAATATAATAGAAAAATATTAAAAAAATTAAAAATGTTTAATTATTAAGAAGCCATCTATTTATTGCAAGGGAGATATAAATCTCTTACTAAATCAAAGTAATAGTAGTTACAAACTAATTCAGTAACGAAAAAGAAAATAAAAAAAAGTTAACCGAAAGAAATAAAAATTATTATTAAGATACGAACTTTTTTCGGAACTTAACATCTAATAATAATTATATAGTTAAAAAAGTTACGCATTACAATTTTCAAAATAATCCTTCTTTAAACCTGGAAATGCTGTAATTTACTGAAATTTTGATGTTGATAGATAAAAAAAATTTAGCAAGTCAGAATAAAATGAAAGCTTATAAAAAAAATAATGTAGGCATATAATTTGTTTATCTATTTTTCCAAGTTGCAAATTTTAAAAATAAATAAATAAATATATAAGTTAATTTATTTATAAAAATATTACATAAAAAAATGTTCTATCCTTCACTCAAATAAAACCTCAATTTTTCCTACACCATACGAAACAGAAAGAGTATAAATTTTCTTTTTATTATCTAATATCTATTTTATTTTAAAAAATTAATTTTTTTATAATTTAATCCGATCAAATAATAAAATGTATTTTTTTTTTTTTTTTTTTTTTTAACCATAGGTATCTCTAGCCACTAGGCTAGAACTAAATCCTATGTGTACCAGGTCGGCCCAAGAAAGGGTAAATTTCTCCCAATGAGTATTTATTCTATCTATGAGTATCGAATTCTCGACCTCACTTAGGGAAGAAAAGTGTCAAACTACTGATCAAACACTCATTGGTATAAGATTTAGTTTTTGAATTGTCTACGACTAAGGCTATTTAAGGGTATTCCAAATTTCATTAAGGGCAATATAGAAAATCTCATTATCCCCCCTATTCCCACATTTATATATAGTACTAGTGTTTTTTGTGACGTGCATTGCATGCTGTTAGTATTCAGTTTTACTCATTGCTTATAGTCATTAATTTATTCTTATATAGTATTAAATATGATTACAATTTTTCTCTTATATTCTCTAGATATTTATATAATGTTAAGACATGGTCAATAATATTCATATTATAAGCGAATAATATTCTTCTTAAACTAATTTTAATATGATAGGACAACATTTAAAGTCGAGTATATTTAATAAAATAATTAGCATCGATTTCTTTAAAAAAACTAAATAATATGATCCTATGATATTGAATGTTGATTTGAGTTCATGAAAAACTTAGATATAGATAAAAACTTAGATATAGATAAAAAGATATAAGTAAGAAAAAATTCAAAATTTTAAAAGTGATATATATTATTAATAATATAAATAATATCATTTTTGCTTGATATATACATGATGGAAAACGAAAACTAAGACTATGAAATTGGGCTCCCCTGTCCTCCTTTGGATAACCTTACAATTTCTTTGGTTCAAACCGTGTTTGATTTGCGGCCTGAGAAATTCTTTGAAGGAGGTAAAATTAATAAATGTTGTTCAATTTTGCTTTATTTCCGTTTTCTATCTGTTACTAATTAAACTTTCTCTCACAGTAGCTGATGATAAGCCAGTGATGGTTGAACGCAGAGGCAAAGAATTGAAGACCCTATTATCTATGTACAAGCGACATAGAAAATGTGAAGAAGATAAGAAAAACCACACAAAAAGAACCCGTAGTGCAAAAGAAGTCAGGTGTGGAAGTTGACAAGGTCTCTTATAGTAGCAAGTTAGAGTCTACAAAAAGAAAATGTCTACAAAGAAAATTGCATTCTTATTAATCAAGAAAGATCATAAAGGTAAGATTATTTTGGTCTGTTTCGTTTTTATTAATTTGTTTTTTTACGTGCAAATTTCCTTTTATATGGTTTATGATGTTGTATACAGTTAAAAGGGAGAAGCAGATTCAGATCATCGACCTAATGGATTTGCCAAAAGCTCCTACTAAGCCAAAGCCAAAGCCAAAGGTTCAACATGCCAAGAAATTCCATCATCGTCAAAAGGTGACTGCCATTGCTCAACACTAGCAGAAGCAAAGAAGTTCAGCTGAGGAGGAATTAAGCAAAATGACATCAAGTTTACATCTATCACCTACCACCTTACTTATTAGTTCATACAAGTAAGGTGGTAGGCGATAGATGTAAACTTGATGTCCTTTTGCTTAACTCCTCCTCAGCTGAACTTCTTTGCTTCTGCTAGTGTTGAGCAATGGCAGCCACCTTCTGATCATGATGAAATTTCTTAGCATGTTGAACCTTTGGCTTTGGCTTTGGCTTAGTAGGAGCTTTTGGCAAATCCATTAGGTCGATGATGTGAATCTGCTTCTCCCTTTTAACTGTATAAAAAATTAATCATCAAAATCCATATGAAGAGGAAAATATGCACTGTAGAAAACAAATTAATAAAACAAATAGACAAAAATATATCTTACCTTTATCAGCTTCTTGATAATAAGAATGCAATTTTCTTTTTGTAGACTCTAACTTGCTACCATAGGAGGTCTTGTCAACTTCCACACTTGACTTCTTTTGCACTGTGGGTTCTTTTTGTGTGGTTTTCTTATCTTCTTCACATTTTCTATGTCGCTTGTACATAGATAATAGGCTCTTCAATTCTTTGCCTCTGCATTCAACCATCACCGGCTTATCATCAGCTACACCAATCACCGGCCTTATCATCAGAATACTTGTGAGGCTACTGTGAGAGAAAGTTTAATTAGTAACAGATAGAAAACGGAAATAAAGCAAAATTGAACAACATTTGTTAATTTTACCTCCTTCAAAGAATTTCTCAGGTCGCAAATCAAATATGATTTGAACCAAAGAAATTGTAAGGTCGTCCAAAGGAGGACAGGGGAGACCAATTTCATAATCTTCGTTTTCCATCACGTATACAGCAAGCAAAAATGGTGAGCACAAATGTAAGGAGGCCTAAGATTTTACCCTTCTCCTTCCTTGATGTATACAAATGATAACAAACACGTATATGCTTTCAATTACAGCTCCTGTCCCATTAACAAAATATAGTTCTTGGAAACGAATGGTAGGCTATACCTATACAGAAATTGTTCAAATCAGTAATTACTCAAAGTTATAATACATGTGATTAGATTGAAATTTGAAACTGAATAAAAAAAATACTCATGATTAGATTGAAATTAATGATCCCAAGAACAGAACAGGATAGAAAAAGAAATATGGATAAAAAAATAATAATAAAATATTCAGGAATTAAACCAAGAAATTTAAAACCAAGAAATATACTCATTACTCTTTATGCGACGCCTGAGAATTGCTCTGTTGATTTACTCTATATTGTTCTCCTGAAAGTAATCCTATCAAGAAATCAGTAGCTAATCAGAAATCAACATTTTCAAGAATAAATAAAACCAAGAAAATCAAGAATACAAGAAGAACAAGAACAAGAGACAGAACAGGAGAGAGATATATAATTACGTTGGAGACATTGGAGACAAAAAGAGGAAATAAACAACAGAGCAACCGTTAAGAAAAAAAAAATGGATCGAGAAATGGAAAATCAACAAAAAAGAAAATCACACAGAACCCAACATTCAACCATTTTCCGCGAAGCTTAAAAACTTGATTAAAAAGCAAAAGCGAAAAGAAGAAATCTTACTCTTACTCTTTATGGGAAACGCGTGAGAAATGTGCTCCTGTTGATTTTAATCTTCCTCTATTGTTCTCCTTGAAAGTCAATCTATCAGAAAATCAGTAGCTAATCACGAAATCCAGCATTTTTCAAGACATAAATCAAAACCAAAGAAATCAAGAATACAGAAGACTAGAACAAGAAACCAGAACAAGCGAGAGAGATATATAATAAGTTGGAGACAAACAAGAGGAATAAACAACAGAGCAAACCGTATTAGAATGGAATCTAAGAACATGGAAAATCAACAAAAAAAAACTCACAGGAAACCCAACATTCACATTTTCGCGAAGTTAAAAACTTGATTAAAAAAGAAAAAGCAAAGCGAAAAAGAAGAAATCTTGCTCTTACTCTTTATGGGACGCCTGAGAATTGCTCTGTTGATTTACTCTTTATTGTTCTCTTGAAAGTAATCCTATCAAGAAATCAGTAGCTAATCAGAAATCAGCATTTTCAAGAATAAATAAAACCAAGACAATTAAGAATACAAGAAGAACAAGAACAAGAAACAGAACAGGAGAGAGATATATAATTAGCGTTGGAGACAAAAGGAGGAATAAACAACAGAGCAATCGTTAGAATGGAATCAAGAAATGGAAAATCAACAAAAAGAAAACTCACAGAAATCCAACATTCACCATTTTCGCGAAGCTTAAAACTTGATTAAAAAAGCAAAGCGAAAAAGAAGAAATCTTACTCTTACTCTTTATGGGACGCCTGAAAATTGCTCGAAAGTAATCCAATCAAGAAGTCAGTAGGTAATAATTTAATCAGAAATCAGCATTTTCAACAATAAAGAAAATCAAGAATACAAGAAGAACAAGAACAGGAAACAGAACAGGAGAGAGATATATAACTAAGTTGGAGACAAAAAGAGGAATAAACAACAGAGCAACCATTAGAATGGAATCAAGAAATGGAAAATCAACAAGAGAAGGAAAATTCAAAAAAACTCACCAAAAACCCCAAACAAGAAGCGGAACATTCACCATTTTATTTATATTATTATTGTTTTTTTTTTTTAATATCAATCAATCAATTTTATTTATGTACGTATTATTTATATTATTAATCGATCAATTTAAGTCTCAATTATGAGACTATCGAAATCATGGATTAATTAGGTGGTGATTTATCATTGACACCATCGTCTTTTCATCAAGAAAAACATGCACACATACATACATGAAAGAAAGATACATACATACATACATTACATACATTAATATCAATAATAGAGAAGAAGAAGAAGAAGAAGAAGAAGAAGCACCTTGAAATGGAGTGGAATACCAGTGTTAGGGCCAATCCTTTCTCGCCAGTAGAAGGTGCTCTGAAATTCTCAGAAGTTTTAGGAACGACGTCGTTGTAAGGCTCTCGGTAATTCACTAATTTGGTCCTAAAAAAAATTTTAAAACTTTTATCTATAAATATTAAATAGCTTAAAAAATTTTTTTCTTTAATTTGGGCCTTTAATTTTAATTTGGGCCTTTAATTTTAAAAAATTTTCTTTTGGCTCTTTTTAGTTTTGGAGTCCGCCCCTGATTACAGTGTTTGAACTGTTTGAAAGGGAGTGCTTAGAAAATATAAGGCGTAAAATACAAGGTGTAAGTAATAACTATATTTGGATTAAAAGATATATATATATTAACTCATACCAGAACTTTTTCGAAAAAAAAATTTATTTATGCCATTACGATGAGAATTAAAAAAATTTTATTTAATTAAGGAAACTTACATATGAAAATAGATTAGACAAGTCAAAAACTTACATATAAACAGCAGCTCCCCTCCGGACTCGTTTTTCCAGCGATACCACCCGCAGTCTTGTCAGTGGATTCTTATGTTGGATTTAATACATTGGAATTCTGCCAATTAGTAAATTAAAAGTGATTATGTAAAAATATGCTATGATTGAGAAATTAATTGAATGATATGAATTTATGTGTCATGATTGAATATTTTATGAAATATATAGAATATTATGTTGTTTCTTCTATGATTTAAATTGTAGTATGTTGTATTATGATGATGTGGGTATATATGAATGATGTGGCAAAATATATATGATATTATGTTGTATTTAAAGCAAATTTATTTTTAACATTATTATTGATAATTTAATAAATTTGAATAAATAACAGAACGATGTATAATGATTTTTTCAGTTTTTAATAATGAATAATTTTTAATCCGATAGAGAGATGTGGAAACTGAAGGTAAAAAACACTAGTAATAAGAAATAGTAATAATTGGTATATTATAATATAAAATAAATTTAATTGAGCTGTGTCAGTTCACATGTCAAGCTATGTTTTTTTAACAATAGTATATTGCCTGGCCCATTATTACCTTGTAATTGGTAGTTCAATAGGAATAGGATGAAAGACCACAACTTTTTGGGGCAAATTAGGTTGTTCAATAGGATGATACAAGTGAATCACAACTTTTAGTAGAAAGTAGCAAAATTATAAATTTCCTTGTAAAAGTTTTTGCCTTTTACTCTTTTCTATGTTTTTGTTAAATTTTTTTTGTTGAAAGAAATAAGAATTTTTATAAAATAATAACATTATTTATAATAAGTAATCTTAGACAGTTAAATAATGACAAAATACAACAAAATAAATTAAATTAAAATTTAAAATTGTTCCAATTTACATCTTAACCAAAAGCAAAAAAGCAAAAAATAATAAAATGCCTAATTTAGACAAAAGATAAAATCTATAACTCTTTAAAGATAATGCTAAAGATCTAAAAGGCTTATTAGCTTTGCTCTAAGCCTATGTTGCCATGAATTAGAAATGAGCCCAAATATGATTAACCTTTTTTAGAAGCTCTAGGCATTGTATGGGGACCTTAATTCTCTAATTTTTGTTTATGGTCTTAGGCCCGTTTGGTTCATCTGTTCATATTAGCCGATGGGGATTGCTGATAGCTGGTGACTGACGGCTGATAACGGTTAGCTGATTATTAAATTTTAGTATCGATTGTTGTTAAAATATAAAATAGTTATTATAGACATAATTATTTTTATATATTACGATGTGTATTGTGTGTGTGTATATATATGGTAATTGTTCGTGTGTGATATATATATATATATATATATATATTTATTTTAATTTACAGTATATATTATTATTTTTATTTATGTTAATGTATTCTATAAATAAAAATATTAATCAAATTTTTAAAATAATATTTAAGAAAAATTTTTAAATTATAAACAAAATTATCATGAAATATATTTAACAATTTTCAATTTAATTTACTCAAATACTTAATTAAATTCATTAATTAATTAATTCGGGATTTATTCAAAATTTGAGAACTAAGCTTTAGAGTGTACCGATTGAAAATCGAACCCCATTTCCGTGATCTACGCGAAGAGGAGGTCATTCTGCCTCTTGAAGCCTCGCCGGAGTCACGCCGGCCGATAGCTGGGCCGTTGCCGCCGCCGTGTACGGTGGCCGGAAAATCGGCCTTGCCCAGAAATTTATCACGATTATACCATTCGACTCGATTTTTCGTCAGGAGTCCGATTTTGGCGTCAGTTGCGCGAGATCAGTCCCCTAGCTGGCCGCATCGAACCCGACAGTCTTCTCTTCACCGCCGTTCATGGTGGTTTCTCCAATCGTCACTGAAATCTTGATTTTCTTAGGTAGAATTACTCACAGCAGCATGAGGAACCGATCCGAGCTATTCTTGGTGGCTGGAGTCGCCGGATTCAACGGGAATCGACGGCAACTCGACTGTCACAATGAACGGGACCTTCTCCTCTCGTTTTCTCTCTAAAGAAGCCACCATAACCTGACCTGAAGTCACCTCCATGTTCGCTTTGTCGAGTAGATCACGTTGGTTTGTTTGTTTGCTGGTTTTAATGGCAGGAATCGGGGGGTTGAGCGGAGCAAGGAGAGGGAGGCGCTGCGAAGAAGAAGAAGATGAAGAAGTAGAAGAGAAGGAAAGAAAAAAGAAGAGAGGCGGGTCTAGAGACTTCTAGGCCATTTCGGTTTGATTCAAACCGGTTTGGTCCAACTCAACAATTTAGCTCGATTTTTGGGTTTGATTAAACCGTTTGGTCCCTCAAACAATTTAGCTCGATTTTTTTGTTTTGGTTTTATTTCTGGTTTTTTTTGCTCTTCGTTTCTGAAAACTTTAAGCGATTACGGTTCCTGTTTATCAATCATCACATATTTGCCTGTAACAACCCATTTATTTTTCTTTCTAATTTGAATTTACTTCCCCAATGATTTTTCAAAGCGTTTGACTTTTATTTTAATTATTTTGGCATATAGTCAAATTTATTATCTCTTTTCAGAATTTACTCAAAAATAGTGCATTATCTATCAATTTTAAAGGATTTACTAATTAAAGTGTAAATAATAATTCTTATTATTATTTTAGTATTATTTTAAGTGGTCCAATATCAATTCTAAGAAGTTTAAATTATTTTCGACTAGAAGTTCCGATAACTTGTTTTGGGCTTGAGCCCAATTCGCAATTTGGGCTTAGGTCAAATTGCTCGGTACTTATAGCCCATCCCATCAAAAATTTGGATTTTCGATTTATTAAAAATTCAAAAATTTTAAAAATAAAAATTCAGGGTGTTTTAGTTTTTTTCCGGAAATAAATAGAACCTAAAATTGTTTCAATTTGCATCTTAACCACCCAAAAGCAAAAGGCAATATCTTTCTTTCCTATTATTCCAATTAATAAAATGCCTAATTTAGAAAACAAAAGAAAAAATTTTTGACTTATTAAAGATAATGCCAAAGACCAATGGATTGTGGCTCAGTTGTAACGCAGGCTGGACATGTGGAAAAAACTCTTGAGTTCTATCCCACTAAATACACCTGTAGGTAGGGGCGAAGAGCCTTAACTGTGACTAAGCCTTGAGCCAGATTAGACGGTCCCTAATAATAGATTTCAGATATCAGTGGGTTACAAAAAAAAAAAAAAAAAAAAAAAAAAAAAAAAAAAAAGAGAGAATGCTAAAGATTTAAAAGGCCTATGAGCTTTGCTCAAAGCTTATGATGCAATGTATTAGAATTGATCCAAATATGATTAACCTTTTTTATAAGCCAGGCATTGTATGTGGACCTTAATTCTCCAATTTTTGTTTATATTCTGAAACAACCCGAATTTTTATTTTCAAAATATTTTCCAATTAAATTTAATGAACCGACAGCCTGTAAATTTATTTCAATATTATAATGCGAATACTGTGATAAACCGAACCGAAAAAGCGATTGAAAAATTTGAAAACCAAAGGCTTGGGCCGAATCGAACCGAATCGAACCGGTCTCGAACCCGATCGTAACCGGTTCGCACCAAAAATCTTAGAAACCATCTCCTTTTCCTTTTTTTTTTCCTTCTTCTCCATCAATCTCACTCCCTCACCATTTTTGCGCCCTAGTCCACCACGGCTGCATCAGCACACTGTTCTAGCGCACCCCTCCTCCTCTTTCTTCTTCTTCTTCTTCTTTTTTTTCTTTTTCCTTTTTCTTTCTTTCTCTTTCTTTTTCCCTGCGCCTGGACTTCCGTTTGCTGGCGAAAAGCAGATCGCGCCTTCCACACAGTCGAGCGAGCCATACTCTCCTCACCGCCGCTCGCCGTTCTTCACAGCCTCCATCTAGCGAGCACCGTAGACAGGAGCAGCGCCTCAGCTCAGTTGCAGCTCCAGCGCGTCTCCAACCACCAGGAGCATAACAGTCGCGCCTGCAGTTGCGCCGCTGGCTGCTCCGCCACCAGGTCGCGCCACCACTGCAAGTCAGCCCCTCCTGCGTCGATCTCAGGTGGTCCAATCGCTTCCAGCACGCGTAGTTTCAATCCGGTACGTGTAAAATCCCAAATCCTGCAAGAAAATAATATTTTGTTTGCGTATGAATTTATTTTATTAATTGTGGTTAATTAATTTAATTTTAGTAATCTTGGGTAGTTAATTTAATTTTAGTAATAATATTTAATTAAATTAATTTTATTATTTGTAGTTAA